CTATAACTGTTTGTAACTGTTGACTCCTCTTAATTATCCTGATGCTCAAATCATCCCACTTTGGCCCATGGGATGGCCCTTAGGCCATTTCCTTTGTCTTCTCAGATCTTTTCTCACTAAAGAACCACACATTCCAGCCGTTCCCACCCAAACTCGCCAAGTCTGAGGGGCCTGGCTGCTGCCGCCCTCCTTTAGTCCTAGACTCTGAGCAAATGGAGCCCAGTGTGCTCAGTTGGACACAGCATAGCTGAGTGGTTTCAGGGTTTGTCCCCGCTACTGCAGAAGACAGTCTCCTGGGGTTTGCTTGGGGTTTGTTCCAACCCTCTCACTAGGGCTAAAGGCATTTATGTTAGTGAGGTTTTAATACCATTTGTGTGTGTGTGTGTGTGTATGTGTGTGTGTGTGTGTGTGTGTGTGCGTGCACGCATGTGCGCAAACATGCCGTAATGCACATATGGAGGCTAGAGGAGCAGCTTTTTAGGAGGTGGCTCTCCTTCCACCGTGTGGATGTTGGGGAATCGAACTCAGGTTGTCAGGCTTAGAGGGTAAGTAACTTTAGCCATTGAACTATCTCTAGCTGAGTGATTTGTTTTCAAAAGAAAAATCCTTGAATTTAAAATTCTGCTCTGTGCACAGAACTTATTTTTATCTCCTAGCTAAATTCAGTGCAAAGTATAGCGGGGTTAGTGCTGAATTTTGTGAAAGAGATCTATGGCAGCCTCTCCGAGGATGATTTAAAGGAGCAAGGGCAGGTTGTTTTCTGCTGTGATTGGGTAAGGAGTCCTAAGGCAGTTAGTCCAGCTGTAATCTCCAGAAGACGATTTTATCCCTAATACTTCTCAGAATTAAAAGTTCAAGTACTGTATGTGGCTCTGTAATAATTAGAATTTGCAATGAAAATACTCAACCAAGTGGATTTTTTTTTTTTTTTGACAGACACTCTCACTATGTAGCTCAGGCTGGCCTCAAACTTTTGATCCTCCTGCCTCCACTTTCCAAGTGCTGGGATTACATACACAAACCACAATGCCCAGTTTATGCCTTGCTGGGATCTAACCCAGGGCCTCAAGGGTGCTGGATAGCACTCAACCAATTGAGCTGTGTCCCAACCTAAAAACTAGACACTTTCATTTTAGTTTTAGATTTATTTTATGTGTGTGAGTGTTTTCCCTCCATTCATCAGTGCCCACAGAGGTTAGAAGAGAATATCAGATATCCTGGACCTGGAGTTACGGATGGTTGTGAGCTGCCATGTGGGCAGCTGAACCTGGGTCCCCTGCAAGAGCAGCATGTACTCTCAACGGTGAGGCGTCTCTCCAGCCCCAGACTGGACACTTTTAAGTTTTAAGTTTGAGCACAGGAGAAGCCATTCAGAGCTAGAGCCATTCTGACCATATTAGATCATTCTCACATTAAAAGCAAGATGGCTGTACGGGTATAGGGTCTCACCACCAAGTTGGCAGCCTAAGCTTGATCCTAAGGACCCACTTGGTGAAAGGAGAGAATCAACTCTGAAAAGTTATTCTCTGATCTACACACACAATGTAAACAAACAAACAAACAAACAAACAAACGTATTGGTGAGACTGGAGAGAATCTGAGTTTGGATCTCCACAACCCAGGCATGATAGTGTGCCTGTAACTCCCACACTGACTCTGTGTGTGTGTGTGTGTGTGTGTGTGTGTGTGTGTGTGTGTGTGTGTACATGTGTGTGCAGACAGATCCCTGGGGTCACTGGCCAGACAGTAATTTTCAGGCTCAGTGAGAGACCCTGTCTCAAAAAAGGATTTTTATTACCCAGTTCAGTAGGGGAAGACACCTAGGTTGACCTCTGACCTCTGCACATGTGATCAGCACACACAGGAGAGTGTAGTCCTCACCCTGTCCCCCATACCCCTGCATAACACACACACACACACACACACACACACACTTTAAAAAAGCATTAGTGAATCAAAGACATTTGGGACTGAATTTTACACGTTAAGGAAGGAGTGAAGGAGAGGCTATTCCCAGGGTAGCTACTCCCAGAGAGGCTACTCCACACTAAGCTACTGCCTAAACCTTTTGGGGAAAAAGAACCCCCAAAGACAAGAGTGCTGTCAAGCTTGCTGATTGATTAGCCTTTATATGTTTTAAAATGCTTGCCTCTCCTGGGCAGCCAGGTGGCTGGCCTCCTCCGTGCCACTGAAGCTGGGAGGAGATAATTAATTGTACCTTAGGTCTTGTTCCCAGGGCCCGGAAGGGCGGTGGACTGGAGTGTGGGGAGAACTCATTATTAAGCTCTGAGGTGATGGAATGGTTTCCAGTGCTAACTGGGTTTTCTATGCCCATGGTGGCTGCCTCTGCTCTTCCTAGGGTCTGAACTACATTTGTACGAGGGAGTGAGCCAGGCTACCAGGAAACAGCAGTGTAATTAGAACGCCTTGATTTTATCTTGTGGTGTTCCTGCCAAGAATAATTGTGTTAGCCTCAGCTCAGCTCCCGGACACACTCTGGAGGGGGTCAAATGGGCTGTACAGGCCCCTGCAGGGCCAGCCACTTCTGCCCTGTCCAGTCCCCGTAGGCCCAGCCTTCTGTCTCGACTTACCCTTCTAGCTAGTACCCTGTCCTGGGACTTGGGGATATACAACTATCATCTACCCCACCCATCCCCAGAGCAGTTCTGCCTTATGTTTGTGGATGGAGACGTGTGCTTGGAGGCATAGAGGAGGCAGGAGCTGTGTTCCCACTCTGTCTGGCTCCAGCTTGCCACAACTTAGCTTGTGGAAGACTCAGGTCAGGAGCTTCAGCTAGTAGGTGGCATTGCCTCAAGGGGCTACAGTTGTGTGGCCTTAGGGCTACAGAGGTCCCAGTGGACCATTTTGCTGCTGTCCAGTGGGCTGGAGAAGGTACTGCTGACCTAAGGGTGGCTTGCCATGAGGAAGGCGTACTATCTCTTGAGAAGTGTTCTGGAACTTAGGGCAGGTGCAGTTGTAACTATCTATCTGCCCTAGGAGTGTTAGCCCTAAAGAGGAGAGGGTGACCCTGGCTGCCCTCTGGGTACCCTGGGTACCTTGACTCCCTGGCTGCCCATGTTCTTCCCTGTCTAGGCTACAGAGCTGCCAAGTGCCATGGAAAGGCAATGTGGGGCGTTGAAGGCTGAGGTTCTGTTCCTGGCCCCATCCTTTACTGTCCATGTTTTTGAGTGTTCACAACTGTAAGCATCTAGTGTTTTCTCTCTATAATATGGGTTGGGGGGGGTGTCTCAGGGGACTGTTGTCCTCTGTCTGATGGCTTCGCTGCCTCCCTAGCCAGAGTGGAAAGTCTTGGCATATTTGGGGCATCTGTTCATCACAACTGGCCCAAGGACAGCTATCAGACACCTCTCATGTAGGTAAATTTGAAGAGTTGAGCCTCAGCCCTGACTTTTCCTGTTATTTGAAATGAAGGGTTTTTTTTCTGTCACCATCGCTGAAGTCAAAGGAGCAACTTGAATCAGACATTTACATTGATGCCACCCTATCAGGTATTGAGGTCACACTTCTCAGTCTACACTGTCAGCCCTGCTTTGTGCCTGTCTATAGGAGCACCATGAGGGCTGGTCACATCGCCTGGGGCTTAGAGATTGCTGACAAAAGTGTCTCAGGATTTACCCCTCTTGATTTTGCAAGGGCTACATGAGCTATTTGCACCTTTGTAGGGTTAGCTGGGGTGGAGGGAAGGGCTTCTACCCCAGTTGTAGACAAGAGAGAGTCACCAGCCCCTTTACCTGCCCGCCTCCCAGGATGGTTCTTCACCTGCTGGTTTATAGACACCATCCTGGAGGAGGTGTCCTGTGTCCTGCCCAGGTAGAAAGCCAGCCCTGTATGGGACTCAGGTGACAGTTGGGGCGGGGGAGACAAATGCTCTTGTTCTTGAAGAGTTATACTCAGGGTCACTAAAGCAAGGGATGCAGGTGCTCAAGGCTGGCAGCCATGCTAGCCGGCACAAACTGCCTGACAGAACACTGAGGTAGAGGGAATGAATCTGTGTCCTGTGTGGTTTGGCTGGTTCCGTGGCTCTGCCAAGTCCACTATACCACCCGTTCTCATTGCAGGCATTGTTCTTTTTTTTTTTTATTGTTGTGGTTTTTTGAGTTTTTAAGTAGGGTTTCTCTTTGTAACAGTTCTGTCTGTCCTGGAACTCACTCTGTAGACCAGGCAAGCCTCAAACTCATAGATTCCTCCTGAGTGCTGGGATTAAAGGTGTGTGCCACCACTGTCCAGCTAGATATTGTTCTTAAATATCTGGGAAGATTTTTAATATCTTTAATATTTAACTTAATGTAAACATTATGTACCTTTTCACTTAAGCTTATCTATAAATACACTTTGTTATCATGAGAATAAAAGGGCAGGGTCATAGGTCTGAATGGAAAATAGCATATTATTTAGAGACAAAGTGGGACATTTCTGTCAACCATGTTACTTTGTATGTACTCCTAGAGCCCTACCCCAACTCCTACATGTGTCCCGAGACCCCAGGGTCATTGGCCAGAACAGTGGGCCTCTTAACGTGGGCAGCTGCCCAGGTGGGTGATAGGGAGTGGAGACTGAGCATGAAGCAGCCTATTCTGTGATACATGACAAGGGGCCCTCCCTTCTGGCTCCAGAGATGCTCTGTGACTCCCAGCCCTGGGCATGTCATCTCCCAGTCCAGCATCTCCTAGGGATAGATAACTATCCTGTGCAGACCCTACATGAGTCAAAGTGTGGCTGTCAACATCAGTAGGAAAAAGATATATTTGGTGCCCAGGTGCCACACAGCATGTGGCCCACACTGTCCCAGAAGTGCCAGGTGTAGCTTGTTGGTGCACAGGAGGGTACGCAGGGGGCACACAGGTGTGTGAAGCCATAGGCATAGTTTCCTTTGCAAGGAAGGGGCCTACTGCTGTGGTTTTCTCATTGTCCCTTCCTGACCTGGGTCCTCCCCCCCCCCCACCCTTTCCAGGAACCACAGAGCAAAGAATCACCACGTGACCACATTTTATTCAGACACTGAATGAATACACCAATCCTTAGTTCTCTTTCTTACCTTTTACATTTGAATGAGAGCCATTTACACCTCACTGTTCCCAGTATTATTTCTCAGAAGCAAGTCCTTGAGCCATACCTCTCCTGGTGGCGTCCCACTGACCCGCACAGCAGCACTCACAGCCTCCAGTAAACAAGCGTCCCAGAGCAGGCAGGACTTTTGCTAAAGGGCCTTTCCCAGCTCAGGTCACTCAGGAGTTATGAGTGGTAGCTGGGGTGACCCTGCAGCCTTCTTCTGGAAGGCAGGAAGGGGGCTCTCGTGTCCTTAGCTTTTGCATGCACTGTGTGCATGGTCAGTTAGACATCACAGGCAAAGGAAATGTAGCCGGTTTGGGTCTGGTACATGTATTCCGTCTCTAGACTCCTCTACCCAGGTAGCGGAAATGTTGACTATGATGCTCCCATAAGATGGCCTATCCTTTTGACTGTCACTTGTCAATAGCAGAATCATCTTCTGGGGACATAGGGTATGGAGAGAAAACCAAGCTGTTCAGCGGTCAATGTCACGAGACCTGCTGCCCTGGGCCCTTGAATCTGGGTTGCCACATCCATGAGCTGGATAGTCAGGGAGGATCCCAGCAGCCCTAGAGATGACCCAGCAGTGTGACATTCCCCAAGCCATTGGGGTTTGAGATTATGACATGGCTCAGTTCACCCACCACCTGTGCTGGGTATGTGTTGCCCCTGAACACCAGTCTGCCCTCTACTCCCATCCTCCTCCCTCAGGGAGGTCCCTCTCACACAGCACTGCTGAACTTGACATCTGAAGGCTCTGTGCTGTCGGGAATGACCGCCTTGAGTGTGGCATGGCAGAAGCGGTTCAGAGCTGGCAGGCTCGTCTTCTGCTCCACATACAGCCTGAGCTTGTCCCTGAAGGTCTCTCCAAGGAAGCTGTAGATGAGGGGGTTCAGGCAGCTGTTGGAGAAGGCTGCAAGGTTGACGATGTGGCCTGTCAAGGGGTAAGCATGACGGAAAGACTGCTTGCAGGGAGTGTCCCCTGATTGCGTCCATTGCAGGAGATGGACACTGATAAACACATTCTCCGGCAGCCAGCATATGAAGAAGACAAGGACCACAGCAAAAATCATCCTCAGGGCTTTCTGCCTGCGTGGGCGCAGGCCACGGTGCCTGTGGGCCCGGATGAGGGCCCGCACGATGAGGGAGTAGCAGAGGCCAATGATGGCAAAGGGCACAATGAAGCCCAGTGTGACCTCCAGCCACTGCACCTCTCTGACATCAGCAAAGCAAAAGCAGGCCTCTTCAGTGTGCCGCAGGTGCACGGCCGTGAAGGGTACCAGTGTGGCGGACACCGAGGCCATCCAGATGAGGCCACAGCTAAGCCGTGCGTGGTGCTTGGTGCGGAAGAGGCTGCAGCGCATGGCCTTAGCCAGTGCCAGGTACCTGTCGAAGCTCATCCAGGTGAGGAAGAAGACACTGCTGTACATGTTGATCTGCAGGAAGAGGGACATGAAGGTGCAGAGTACGGCGATGTCGTAGTACTGCTCATCCAGGTTGAACACCTCGATCAGTGAATCAGCCACCAGGATGAGGTCAGCAGCCGCCAGGTTGATGAAGTACAGGTCCGGGATGGTCATCTTCTCCCGGAAGCTGATGTTCACCACCAGGATGAGGATGTTGCCCACAAAGCCGATGGGGAAGAGGAAGATGGTGTAGAGGCAGGAGAGGAAGAGGGCGATCGCATACTGCTGCTGCTCAGAGAGGTGCCCCGTGAGGTTCCCCGGGGTGCCTTCCTGCAGCCGGAGGGTCAGTGAGGTGCTGTTGGCAGGGGCTGGCCACGTGGGACCTAGGTAGATCTCCGCGCCGACAGTGTGGGCTGGAGTAGTCACATCCATGGCTTCCCTCGGTAGCTTTCAGGACTTGCTGAAAGGGTCACAGAAGTCTGTTTTAAGTGACAGCTCCATCTTCACAAAGAAAGGTGATCCTCTTGGAAGTGAGCCAGGCATTTGTAAAGCAGGGAAACTAGTCCCGGGAGCCTGTTAGTCTCAGAAAACCAGAAGGGCAGACAGGGTCTCCGATGTCTGGGCAGGTGCTGGGCAGCCACACCTGCTGCCTGCTCACTCTCTGGGCACCTGTGGAGGCAGACAGAACATGATTAAGCATCTGGAACCCCCGGTGTCCTGAGGGAGCCAGGTGTAGTGCATGAGCAATAACAGAGCCTGCCTGGTCTCAGGCTTTCACCACCTTGGAGAGATGGGTACCCCTGAGCTGGAGCAGAAGAGTGTTCCTTTGTGTCCCCTAAGGGTGTCCAGAGTTGGTGGTTTGAGTTGGCGACAGTCTTGTGAGTCATGGGAGATGCAGTGGAACCCGTCAGATTGCTGGCTCATGAAATAACGTGAAAGTGTGGTGTGGGAATTTGAGGAAAACTACTGTTTGTCGAGACAGGAAGTCTCATTAACTTCAGCAGCTGTTGGAAAGAGATGTGACATGGGAAGGGAAAAACCCAGCTTTTCTCCAAGAAGCCCACGGAATGGGAGCTGACTTTTCTCTTAGTAAAGTAGTAAGAGAAGTTTCGCTCTTTGACTGGTGGCAGTATTGAGTGTGGGTGCCAGGAATAAACACCCGGCCCCTAATACAGAATGAAAAAAGAATAAAGAATAAGAATTGTCATTTGAGGGCTGGGGTGTACCTCAGTGGTGAAGCATTTACCTGGCACACACGAGGGCTGTGGGTTCCATCTTCGGCATCACACACACACACACACACACACACACACGCACACACACACACACACACACACACACACTGCTGGTTTTTGAGGCAGGGTCTCATGTAGTCCAGGCTATTCTCAAATTCACTAAATAGTTGAGGATGACTCCTCATCCACCTAGCCACTCCAGAGGTTAAGGTAGTCCAGGAGTTTGAGACTATCTTGGGCAGTAGCCTGAGACCCCTTTGCAAGGAATAAGGAAGAAAGGAGTGAAGGAAGGAGAACATTTTGTCCTTTTTCACTAATTACTGTGAAATATAACATTTTAGAGGCTGTATCCTGGAAGCTGGGCTTCATTTGTGGCTTGGAGAATATGACTGGGGATGTTTCCTAGCTTGTTTGACTCTGAGCCCCTGGGTTCTCTGTGGTATGACCCGGGTTCTCAGTAGCACTAGCAGTATCTGGAGACCCTGGGGTGTCCCAGTGTGGGAGATGGGTGCTGGCATCCAGTGGGTAGAAGCCAGGGATGCTACTCAGTGTCCATACTGCCCTGGGCAGTTACTGTCCCAGCTTCCTCACCCACAGTCAGTAGCATCCAGGATAAGATGACAGAATGGACAGGGTTGGCTCCTGAAAATGTATCTCTTTTGCTTTTTTTGTGGGGGTTGCTTTTGGTTTTGAGGTGAGGCAAGGGAAAGCCTGAGGAGTATTGGCCTTTCTCTCCCAAAATACTGTTTCAATAAAATAAGGGGAGGAAAATTGGAGGGGCAGCTCACTGCCATGGCCACATCCTGTCCTGGAAGTGTGGGTGTGGTGGACAACCCAACTCTCACAAGTAGTGCCCATTTGAGCCACAGAAGTGCCCTTTATTTCTTCTGAGATCCAATGAGACAGCTGGGCCTGGTGGTGCATACTTTAATCCCAGCACAAAGGAATCAGAGGCAGGTGGATCTCTGTAAATTTGAGGCCAGCCTGGTCTATGTAGTGAGCTTCAGGCCAGTTAGGGCTGCACAGTGAGACCCTGCCTCAAAACAAACAAAACCTCACAATTTAAAAGTACTTACCCAGAGTGCAATGTGTAAATGTGGAAACTCAGAGGTTTGTCCACAACTCCAGCAGCTTAAGGGGAGCAGAGCCCTGGATGGTTTTCTCCTGAGAGCCGCTCAACCATTCTGGTGGGAGCATGGCGGAGACGACACCCTGTGTTCTGTCCTTGATCCAAACTGCTGCTCTGCTGGTCCAAGGATCAACACTAGTGTCCTTCTGATTTTTCTCTTGTGTGCCAGATCTGGGGAAACAAGGCTGGATTTTTGCCTGGCTTACAAGACCCCTGTCCCTGGAACTGCTAAACCACCAGAAATCCCTTGGCAGGCAAAGAGCAGCAGCAACGTGGTGTTACAGGGCGTAGCTGGGACATGGGCTGTGAGCTCTAGATGGACATGCTGTTGCCTGTACTTGGGTAGAGCCCCTGCCTCAGTCACACCTAGCATGCCGTCTCTGGAAACTGAGGGGTGCATGCCTGCTCCACCATTCCCAGAACAGCACAGCACAGCACAGCACAGCAAGTAATGTCCAGCCAGATACACACCCGAAACCTGGGGCACAAGCCTGAATCTTACCTGTGTCACCGAGTCACTGGACCATCTGCTGGAGGAGTACCCGGAGCTTGCCCGCAGGGGATTGGCCCTGGACTTGCAGCACTTTGGGGGTGGTGCCCAGCAGGGACAGCAGGAGAGGAGGAGAAGAAAGACTTGTCTAGAAGGGAGCTCAGGATGCCTGTGGCTGTCCCGCAGCGTCTGGCCCCCTTGGCACAGCGCCTCCTTTATAGACTTCCCAAGCTACTCACTGGGCTCTGGCCAGCCTCCTTTTTAAGGCCAGCATTAACCATTTTTTTGCTGGTTATTTTTTTCCTCCCACATGTAGGCGGTGAAAACGGTCTGGCTGGACACATATTTTATGGAAGTTTCCAGTGTGGCTGCTGTTTTTTACCCACGTGTGGAGGGATTATAATACTGTTTACCTTTTAGGTAAGAAGCCTTTACCCGTTTGTAGAAGCAAGTGATGATGCTCTTGCTTGATTGGGCTAGTCCTGCCTTTAAGACTGAACACTGAGTTTTCTCAGTTAAGTTAGCTTTAGTAGGGCACCAGGAACATAATGAATGTAAGCTATGGTTTTCCCAGAGATTCTTGCAGCGGGAAATGCAGCCCACAAGTAGCAAGTATTTTGGTCAGAAATTAGGAATCCAGGGTGGGTTTTCTGCTCTACTATTAGCTAGGTCTAATGTCTCTCTGCCCAGGGGTCAGCTGAGCCACCTGTCTTCCAGGTGGCTGATGAGCCTCATCCCCACTTTGGCCACCTGTCTTCTCTGTTTCCAGTTCTAGGCCTTGTACAGCCAAGGTTGAGGGGACCCAAACCCTGGGGTCCGAGTGGCCCCATGACTGATTGCTCTTCCACAGACATTCCACCTTCGGTTTGTTGGTTTCATCCTGATCTTGGCATTGTAGCCCTGAGGTGGAGACAAGCATGGGGGAGGGAGCTTCACTTGATGATCAGAGCTTAGGCAGCTCCGACCAGAGCTCTTCAGTCAAGTTGTCTGATGATATTCACAATAATTTAGACTTAATTGATCTCATTTGTACTTTCTTCGTATCTGGGTATGTGTGCATATTCATGTATGTGCTTATGCATGTGTGTGGATGTGGAGGCTGAAGAGCCTCAGTTACGATTCCTCAGGTTCTAGCCACCTTGTTTTTTGAGGAAGGGTCTCTTATTGGCCTGGGGCTCAGCAATAGAGCTAGGTTGCCTGGCCAGAGACCCCAGGGTTCCTCCTCTACCTCCTCAGTGCAACTCCTGTGTTTTCGTCTTGGTATCTTCTTGATTATTGGGAAGCTGGGAGGTTGAGTACATCGAATGGGCATTTGTGTTTTTAGCATGGATAGTGCATGTTTCTGCTGGCTGAGGACAGATGGAACCAGCACATGCTGCTCCCCAAAAGGGTGACCGTGTGCAACAGAAAGGAGCAGGTACTGGTCTAGAGAAATGGCTCAGGGGTTAACATTTGTTGCTCTTGAAGAGGACACAGGTCCGATTCCCAGCATCCATTTGGTGGCTCACCATCATCTGTAACTCCAGCTCTAGGGTATCCAACTCCCTCTTTTGGGCTCTGGGCACCAGGCAACGCAGGCAGTACACAGATATACATACAGGTAAAACAGTCATACACATAAAATATTTAAAAACTAAATAAAGCAGTTACCTGCCTGCAGACAGCTGCAGGGGCATCTCTAGGGAATGCTGGCCTGCTGCCCTGTACAGATCTTTAAGCAGAGTTCTGTGTTAAATTTTCTTTTTAATGGAAAAATACTAAGGCAGGACCCTTTGGAGCTGTAGAAGCCCCGACTACTGTTCTTTTTTTTTTTTTCTCATTTGAGCTGCAAGATAAAGAGCCCATCCGACCCCCTTACCAAATCAAGATGATGTCAACATTAAAAAACGCCTGCGACACCATCTTGAAAGAAACAGATCATGAGAAAACACAGCTTCCTTTTGAATTAAATAAATAAAACAGAAACCCAAACCTTGAAATAGCCAAGGCGTGCCACTTAAAAATAGCTGCTCCCTTAAAAATTCCCCAGTCTTGCAAGCCCATGCTTAGGGTTCCATGGTGCTGGAATGGCAAGAGGGCCTTTGTTGCCTCCTGGGTTCCTGAGGAGTCCCCTGGGGTTCTCTGACATCTTGCACAGGTGCATGACTGGCAGCTGAAGTGTTGGGGGAGCATCCTACTCAGAGCCCAGCCTTCCCTTTAACATACCAGGTAATCACATCCTATGACTAGCACTTGACCTATGTCATCATGACAGGACCCAGGCAGAAGGGATCTCTGCCTTCTAGCCTCCTTAGATTTTAGTGTGGATAAAGATGAGAGACCTTGGAGAAGATTCTGTGACTATAGTGGTTAGTCTGTTGTTTATGAGGGCTTCCTCCATACTCTCCTGCAGTGCTCTACAATAGTCTCAAGGAGCACCCCTTTCAGAGCCGGGCTGCCTCTGCCCTTGGTTTCTTGACAGAGGACAGAGCCTGAGGGACACAGTTTGAGCATTTGCAGCAGAAGGCAGGGCTGGAGGTTGAGTCTGGGCCAGGGTCTTCACCCTTGTACCAGCCATGTTCTTGTCCTTCCTATTCTGCTTGTCTCCATGTGAGTTGGATGTCTACATGGGTTTGGCATTATGTTTTGTGCCCGAGTCCACAGTTGTTTATAATGGCTTTGTGTCTGAGGAACTCACGCACCATGTGACTCAAGGCTAAAGGGAGGGAAATGAGAGGAAGTCCAGTGTGACAGGCTCATACCTGTTCAATGTATAGACAGTTTGGGGCCATATATGGGGACCAGGCACCAGTAAAATGAAGCCCTTTGCTTTTGCCTTCATAAACCCCTCACAGGAATGCCCTGCTACTCAGCACACAACCCTTCATCTTTTGAAGTTTCGGGTCAGGGTCCAGAGTGCCTCCAGGGGTCCCTACTCTCCCCCGCCCCCCACACA